GAGAACGCTATCTTGTGTTTATAAGATCTTTGGCAGAAAACAAAAGTAAAGTATCTTGTGGAGAACTGATAAACAGATAAACCTACCGTGCGCGGTGGAGTACTGGGTAATAAACATAGAGATATAATAAGAATACTAGAGCGCTAACCGCAATGTATTCGATGTTCGAAATACGCAGAACTGTGTGTGTGTGTGTACCATCCAAGATGGCTGCCATAGATTTAGCCAATCAAATTTCGCTAAGCACCATCGTTTGCAATTGCGCCCTCAATTTACTCAGAAAGTTCGGTACAGCTAGTTTGAAACTCGAGCGTTGCGGTGTTTGGGTGTAATGTACACGATTTTAATTTTCATCCCTTGGTACTTTATTTTTGAATAAGATGCTCCCACTTGGCCTCGTTTTGGCTAAAATAGTTTTAATAAAACTAAAATAATTTGTTATTACCATTACTCATTATCATTAATGAAATAATAGTCAGTCAGAGGGCTTATTAATATGTAATAATATGTATACTAAGACTGAAGGTGGCGCTTTACTACGGCGCTTTACTACGACGGTCATCTTGGATGGTACACATACATAACTCTGCATTGCTGCGCCATCTTGTCAGCACTCTAGTTGTTTAATAGCTCTATGGTAATAAAACACATACAAGCGTTAGTTGGCGTCCTACACTAGCTGCGTAGAGCGTATCGTTTTTTTACGCTCTGAATGAGCGTTGTTGGCTCTCTTGTTCTATTTATACTCTTTGGTGTTTATGTATACTTAGACTGCCCTGTCATGAAATAACCTCTCAACTGCATATAGCAAAGTTTTGAGATAATCAACAAAACGTGTTATTGTGTTAGTTAGCTCTTCTCATGTAGAGATAACAGGATTATGATTTCCACACCTTTTAGTAGATTATATAACTAATATTTATTGTGTAAAATGTTTTATTAAAATTTCTCAATATAATATTAAATATGTCAGATTTAATGTTTTTTCATGACATTCTGGGTCAATTACATGTAAGAAAATCACGAAAGACTCAACTCAACTGCATTTGTCATGGAAGAATCCACTCAACTACAAAATTTATTCAAAAAGTACTAAATTAACGTAAACATATATACAAAACACTTTATATAACTTCATATTCTTGATCATGAGACTTTAGTTGATATAATTTTAAACATTGTGGTATTTTTTGATAGCTAGGCCAACTTGGTTATTGTTTTTCCACACTGTACAAGGCACCCAAACCCAATTTAATTGCCTGTGTCTGATTGGCTAGGTGTGAGCTAGGCCTAGCCTAAGCTAGAACGGGTTAGCCAATAAGGAATACAGGACTATGTACTATGTAATTTAAATGGTAAATACTACAATATATTTTATGATTAGAGGAGAATATAAAAAAAGTATTTAACTGTGAATAAGAAATAATGACATTTTAAAAGTACATAGGCCTATGATAATTAATTTTTTTACCTGTTTGCGCATTACTCTGTATTGTATATTGTATTATTCTGTGTTAACAATCAGATCTGCCACTGCATCTGTTGGGATATTGTTCCAGAATGTTGTCTGTTTTCTGGCATTAATTTAACAAGTGATATTTTTTATAGCTAGGCCCCCTACTAGGTCATTTTTTCCAACACTGTACAAGGCGTTCAAACCCAAATTTAACTGCTGTGCCTGTTTGGCTAGGTGTGAGCTAGGCCTAGTCTATTGTAGGCTAGTTGGGGTTAGGCAATAAGGAATACAGGACTGTACTATGTAATTTAAATGGTAAATACTACAATATATTTTATGATTAGAGGAAAATATGAAAAAGTATTTAACTGTGAATAAGAAATAATGACATATTTTAAAAGTATATGATACTAATTTTTTTTTTTTACCTGTTTTGTGCATTACTCTGTATTGTATATCATATATTATTCTATGTCAACAATCAAATCTGCTTTTGCATCTGTTGGGATATTGTTCCAGAAAGTTTGTCTGTTCTCTGGCATTAATTTAACAAGGTTTCGCACAATGCCGTCTTTTTTGTCTTGAGAGATTCCTCTTGGTTCTTGCCTTTGATCAAATTTCTTCTTGTTTACTATGTTTTCTATTGCTTTCTTTTTCAAAAATTCACCATGCTTATACTGTACTCTGTGTCAAGATGAGATTCTTTCCACTTGATTGCAGTTTCTCCCCTCGTGAATAGTACTTCTTTTACATTTGCTAGTTTTGGCTTGTTGGTGTACGCAGCAGTGCTTATGCAGTGTTCATAATTCTTAAAATCGCTATAATTCATTGGTATTGCTCGTCCACATGCATTGATCACAGACTCAAAGTCTGTGGAGTCAAACACTTTACCACGCCGCTTCATTTCCTTCTCTACCTTGGCATGAAAGCTGTCACAGCTCATGAAAGTATGCCCGGATTCCAAATATTTTAAACTTACCTGCTGTAGAGCGTTTGTGTTGTTCACCGTAGCAACCAGTGCTGTGTATAAAGTCCAGTTTTTATTTTGTGCTCCACAGTTGTCAACCCATATAACAACTTTTCCTTTGTCCCGAATATCAGAAGATTCTAAAAATTTAATGTAGCTACTTGCCACATCACCTGCACTCCTGCCACTGTCACTTTCATTCCAGATTACACCAACTGGTTTGAATGCGTCTCTCTGTTTCTTACCCAACGGAGCAAAGGTCTCATGAAACTGCACCAGCCTCCTTGTAAAAACACATGTCTTGATGCCTTCCATCCTCGGGCATGATAACTTTTTCCATATCGGCTGATACTACTACTTCGTCATCTAACAATCACCTTTCCTTGTCCTCCTGGTACTTCTTTCTGGCAATACTAGCCCTTTCCAAATGTGCTTCATGGTTCATACAATCTCTACAATCTTCGTTGTCGGTCTTGTGATTGGCCTTGTGCTCACATGCTTCATATTCCTCCTTACCCAAACGAGCGAAACTTATAT